TCTGACCCGCCAGGAAAATCCATCATCATCATTACAATTTAGCAAATTATCAATAAATTCATCAATCAGATAAATAGAGTTCTTGTCCTCATTTGTTAGACATTATATATCTCTCTTATTGGTTATTACCATTGTAGTTTGTTGAAGTTCTTTTGAAGACTTCCTTCAGGAGGTGATCCTTGTAGTATTGCTCAAGTTATTAAAGGAATTCAATAACTTGAGAAACTTTAAATTCACAGGAGTTCCTCTGTGTTCAGAGTTTAAAGAACTCCAAATATCACTAGGTGATATTTCCCTTGATTAACAAACTCTACACTGCAAACATCATTCGGGTTCCCCAAGTGGGCAGGAAAAAATGATTGGGAGTATGATTTGTCATAAAATGGTCTATCACTCCACACCTGAACCATAACACCCACACTACATATGTGTAGCAGGCTCAGTGAATATGTGGTTATCATGTACATACAGTTCTGCTCAGTTATCTGCTCATCAGGATAAGTTCTTCATATGTAATACATGCTGTAACTTCTTTCAGATTGAAAAAAGCTTCCAAAAGATTGACTACATACACTGACTCAATGTTTTGGTGTGATCTCATCAACTCAACTGCATGTAACACACTTTCTGTTACTAAGACATAGCTTCAACAATATTGCTTGAGTAGCTACAGAATGATATGTAGTAAATTTTTGGGAAAAAAATTCCAAAGTCGAAAAAGTTACATGTGGTATAACATGTGATTTATTTATTCTGATGGGCAAAAAACTGAGCAGACCTGTATGTACATGATAGACAACTATTGACTCAGCTTGCTGCGCATATGTAGTGTGGGTGAAATGGCTCAGGTGTGCAGTATTAGATTCTTTTATGAAAAACTGTACTATTAATCATTTTCCTCTTCCAAATTGGGGAAGTTGAATGATGTTTACAGTGTCTAGAGTAGAGTGTTGTTAGCTTGGGCACAAATCTAGACTGTAGTTTCTACTCTAAATCCTTCTAGAAGACCATTTGTCTTGCATTAATTCCCGGATTTGTATCCAAAACCCTTTGTTAAAAGCTCACCTAACTGAAGTCAGTGCTGATTTGATCACACTACTTCTCAGCCAACCTTGTTTTGAAACTTACAACAAGGTTCCCATGCGCCTAATAAAAGCAGTTTATTAGTCCACCCTTATCTTTAGTGGTTTACTAGCCCAAAAGACGCTAGTAGCTCACAGGGAAGATCACCTCAAAATATTGGAACCACCTAGACCTTATTCAGGAGCCATGATATCTAATGATTCTATGAACTGGAAAGAAGGTTGTGACAATGAAATGGACATGATGAACAAAATGAAAGTCTGGATGGAAAGGCCTTGTATCTATTGACCTACAATGGGTTTTTGATTATAAGAAAATGGACAAAGAAGGTAACCTGATTAAATTCAAAGCTTGTCTTGTTGCCAAAGGCTTTAAACAACAAGAAGGCTTTGACTACACAGAACCTTTTGCATCAACAGCAACTTTTGCATGTTTACATATCATGCTCACTATAGCAGTGTATCAAAATTGGCCTATACATTCCTTATCAGTGTCAACGGTGGCACAGCTAAGCTAAGTTAGCGGTTAGTGGTGCATTAGCTTAGTGATTTTTTATTGCTAAGCTAACGGTAAATCCTTAGCGCACTCAAGCTAAGAGCACCCACTATGGTTGCGCTAACTCGGTGATTTAGCGTTACCGTAACGCTAAAATACCCACAGGTCCACTATGGACTTGATTTAGACTTGCGGTCCCTACGACCGTGTCAAATCTTGCTTTCCCCATCTTCAAATCTACGAACAGCTACGACTTGATTTATTGTAGGATAATTGGTCAACAACTGCAGTTTTCAAAACCCCAAACTTCAAAACATCACAATTCAAGACTTCAAATTCAAACTTCAAAGTCCATCCTCAAAACTCAGCTTCGATACATCATATTTTGGCACATCGCACTTCGAATTGAATCGATTTCAATCAAGGGTTGATATTTTCCCTATCATCAAAGTGACCCACACTGTTCTTGTTTCAACTTTACTTACGAGTCACGACTTATGTAGATCATCATTATTCATTAACCACGAGATACTCTGGTTGTCCTTGTAAAATTCTGCTACAGTGAAATCTGAATGTACAATATACATATCAAAGTTTTGTGAGCTTGATAATTGAGGTGTGAAATAGTCATCATACGATTGCTCAGCATGCTGAGCTCGATCTTGATCTATTCGGGTTCAAGTCTGAGGAGTTGAAGGTGGTGTGTGAGGCCTATCAAACAAGAATTCAAAGACAAGTTGATGAAATTCTTGTTCCTCATCATTATTGTTTAAAGACTTGAATGACGGTCGATATGTCTCTTCAAGAAATTTCTAGCGGGCATTTGATGGATGGTCTTTTGGATGAAGGTTATGAGAAATGAGATATTTCATTTCAAAATCAAACCACTGTGGATCTGATTGATTCACAGTGATTTATCCTTGGTAAAGCAGACCTTAGATCATCCCATAGTGGAATTCATGCGGTTACCAACTTTGGTAAAACACGCATGATCAAAGTTGGTGCTCAGGAACGCAAAATCTACGATAAATCACCCTCATGATAGTGGGTGCTCTAAGCTAATCAAATTTTGATTTTTTCTTTAGCGGGTCTGCGCTAAGCTAAGCCGGAAGCTTAGCTATCAAAAAGAACATGTTTTAAGTGCAAAAAAGGGCCGCTAAGCCGCTATTAGCGGTTTAGCCGCCAATTAATTGGCTTAGCGGGTGTCATTTCATGCCCGCTAAGCTAAGGAAATCCGCTAAGATTAGCATTAGCGGATTTTTCCTTAGCGGCTTCTAGCTAAGCTAAGCCAAAGTGGCAAAAATCCTTAGCTTAGCTTAGCGAGCCACCGTTGTCAGTGTACCTCCATAGCAACATTGACTCTCTCATTGACTTTGATATTCCTACTTGCTATTTATGTGAAGGGCAGAAGAAGAATCAAGTCCTTGAAGGAATCAAAGCTCTACATGGTACTCAAGACAGTGCACATTGTTGGTGGAAAAATAGAAAATGTCCTAGTGCAAGTGGGATTTAAGAGTAGTGAATACAACCTGACATTGTACATCTATTGTTGGGGAGCCAACATGTGCATTATATGGCTTCACACTACAAAGATAATGTGTTTCTCTGAGGTGAAAACTGATCACATTTGATGCACAAAATGATTAATAATGCATGATTAATGTACAAAATGAAGATTGAATGCAGATTGAATGCACTTTTAATCATCTTGTAGATTAAATGTAATCATTTTTCACCTTGGAGAAACCGGTGTCACAGTGATGATGGAGCAGTCACTGTTACAGTAATGCCCATGCAATTACATAATTTGGGTGGAGGACTTTTGGTATGTATTTTGGTGTGTTATGCAATTCTGTTGTCAATGTTGGCAGTAAAAAGCCTCAAGATTCAGGCTTTTTTCTATGCATTATCACAAGTTATGCATCTGTGCGGATTTGACTGTAGTTCAGATAAATTACTCAATGAAGTTTTCAACAATTAAAAGAAAAGATATTGATCAAATCAGAACCAACCTGAATCAAACAGTTGGTGTTAATGTATCACATCAAAATGATGGCAGCTTTATCCTCTCTCAACCTGGTCTTACAAAGAAAATATTCAAGTCATTCCTTCCCAATGAACAGTCAAAAAATCCTGCAATCACCTACTGATGATGGAGAATGAGTTGACTCAGACAAGTACTTATCTGCCATCAGAACTCTTAATTATTTATCAGTTGCCACAAGACCCGATATCACCCACACCATGATACACCATTGCATACCTATGACAATGCTAATTGGGGTGGGGGACAAGCAAGGTCATTGCATGGATACATCTCATACTATCTTAATTGTCCTATATCATGGTTATCAAAACAACACCCCTGTGTATGTAGCATCTCCAATCTGCCATGCCAAATACATGGTGATAGGATCAGCTTGTCAAGATGCAGTGTGGCTTTGTAATCTCATTGAAGACATGACAGGAATTGGCAATCTATTTAACATGTACTATGATAACACCTCATCAATTCATGTTGCCAGTGACAATTTATCAAATAAACGCACAGGTCATACTGATAGGGAATTTTACTACGTCAATGAACAAGTCTACAAAGGACAAGTATTCTCAAATTGCATAGTCACAAAATCACAAAGAGTGGATATGTAAATGAAATCATTAGGACCTCCCTCACATGATCAAGGTGTCAAGGATCTGAGATTATTATTGAATTGAAAAGTCATCTGAACAATTGAAAAAATTCAACTCCAGCTCCCTTGAACTTATCACAAAGCTCAATACTTGTGATGTACAACATGTGGAAACTGTGTCTGGTGGAGATAATTTTGTAGGTGGGGATTCATCATTCCATTCAATCTGGTAGAAAATATTACCTGCCTCAGGGGAACAGATTCCAGATCAGAGTGTTTTTTATTTTTTAGTTTTTATTTTTGCTTTGATGCAGATCATTTATGTTCTCGTTTTTTTCAACAAATATTTTGTGTTACACTCTTTATAAATGTTGCTTCATTGTTTTTCTTGATAATTTAGTTTGTTCTTGTTGTTTTTCTCTCATTTTCTCCTTTCATATGTTTGCCAGTGACTTGTTGTGGGGGGTGTTGCATTCATGTGAGACTGAGCACAACTGCGGCACAGGCATCACGTGCACAGTCCACAAAACCCAGCTCCAATTCAATCAGGGATCCCACATCATGGCAAACTTAACAAAGTCCTACTCGCTTTGAGCTGTACTGGCCAGCTCATCAGTACAAAAACGTGGGGAAGTGCTTCATACTTCATGGTATGGAGGAAATTAAGGACACGCGATGGTTCATTGTGTACATGCCAATATAAGAAGGATACTAACCCTTGGCAGATTTTTCAACAACTATTAGATATCTCTTACTGATCCTTGGGAGATATTATACGGACTCTACACATCAACACATAAACATTGTGCGATCTTTGATACCTTTAGAACCCAGTACTTCCCAATCGCTTGACCGGATCCATAGGTCATTCGCGGCGTCTAGCCTGCATAACAGTGAAACACCTTTCCAGGCGAGTAGTTTCGGGTCGATATCTCGAGGGGGTGGTATTGAGCTTGTCTCACCAATGTTCGGGTAGCGAGCCGCGAGCAAAGGCTGAATCCTGTTGGCGTCAACCGATAACGTTAGATTAAGCCGTCGTGTATGTCCAGAGCAAGTATAAATTAAACAAACCGTGTCGTGATCGCATACGCAACGTTATGTATCAAGCCACCTCCACCAACGATAATGATGGCACCAGCCATCCTTCGACACTTTTCTTCAGAGTTACAGGCCAAAATACTATGAAGGACTGCTTCTTGGAGAGGTAATTTACTTGCCTCAATTATGGTTGCGTTGGGCATGATTGAAGGCGTCTCAGCATTCTGTGTAACTGGCAATACACCGGTAGTCTGCTTGCCAGTAGCTGGGCTTGGGCTTGGTCGGCGGGTTGGTGCACTGGAATCAACGAGGGTTGGCTGCGGGGTGCCACTGTGCGGGGACGCCATATCTTCCAACGCTGCATTAACATCCTCGCAGATATTTTGAGTAGGCTTGACTTCTGCTGCTTGTACGTTTGATGCAACGCTCGCCGCATTAGGTTTCACGTAAAAAGCGTGACCTGTGGAACTACGCATAGCGTCCGTAACGGTATTTCCACCTAAATCGAGCACGTCATCGACACCGTCCTTGCTAAATAATGGCTTGCCCGGCTGGAATTTACGGCCGAAATCAATGATTTGAGGTGTAAACATGATCTTTTCAAAGGAACAAGGAGATATTTGAGTTACACGCATCAAATCAATGAAACACAAGCGGACATATCAGACGTACCATGGGAGAGAGTATCACTTCGTCATAAGCGCGAACAGCCCATTTCTGTGTTGGGGCATTCGGATGTCGCGAAAAGAAAGTATACACATTCAATCCCACATCACCTTCACTCAACACCACCATATCTTCTTTCAAGCGCTCCATCATTTGCCAATCCCATGTACGATTCAAATTTAAGTCTTTGTAAGGAAATTTCTGCCGCCGGAGCATCTCAGACAGAACGAATGTGATATCATCCCCGCCATAAGCCATCTGTAGTCGCGTCTCTGGTAAGACCCAACCCTCTTCGACACATGAGACTGAGGTTTTAGTTGCCCCGATGTCAATCACGCAGGCCGTACCCAGTCCCGCGCCAAAACAAGCGCATAAAGATTCCTGTTGTAAACAGATCTGCTTGAATCCAACTGTACGAAACATTAGATCGACCATTTCCCGAAGATAAAAATGATCATATAAGTCAGGAAGAATGAAAATTGCAGAATATTCCTGTACGTGACGGACGAGTGTAAATAAGATCAGTTCTCTAAGACCCAGCTCGAACTAAGAACGTTGATAGTGAGTACCTTCAGCTCTTGCTCCTTGATGCCCAATCCGTTCGATAAAGCGTAAAGCCACACTGCTTCAATGTCAGCCAAGATCTCATTCTTTGAGTCATATCCTGAATCTTCCGCTGTGTTCAATGCGCCCCGATGAATCGGCCAACGAATTGCGTAATCATGCTTGTCGGGGTCGGCAATCAACAACGCATCTTCGCCTATATATAAATCTCTAGCTTCAGGACCAGTCACTGGTGGCCAGATTGTACCGAGAGGATCTTGGTCTTCGCTCAATACAAGGGGAACAACATCGGCATTGTAATTTGCGGCAATGCCTTGGCCGTTAGTGATTCCACGGAGTTTGATTTGACGCATACGACTCCGAAACTCGGCCCGAATAGACCCAATCTTTGAGTTGAAGGCATCGACTACCTGGGGTTCCAAAGACGGTTCAAAATTTCTACAGACACCGTTGGGTGAAGATTTAGTTGCTGATGATCGCCGACGGGCCACGACATTGGGAACAGATATTGGTAAGTGATCGGATGCTCGGCCGATGCGCAACATTCGGGAGCCAGGATGAATGACAATGGTACGTTGGGCAGGATCGGTCGGTAAGTTTTGAGATGGAGGAAGAAGATGACCAGACGGGTGAAGGCTACTCGGGCCCTGGATAGGGCTCGTAGGATCTCGTGCAATCGAAGCTTCATGACGAGCAAGATCAGGAGAGCGAGCCAAGAGTGCGGTGTCGTCACCTCCGAGCATCACTGTCTTCTTCCAATTCCGCTGACTTTCCCAAGTGGCGTCATCGGCTCTCCGAGTCCACCAGGATTGATGGTCTGCTTTGGCAAATGATGACGCGACATTCTTGCCATTGATCGCTGAAAAGGGCTGGAAAGCTGTGAAGGAGAAAGGTTGTGAAGTAGGACCATTGGGTCTTATTGATGCGAGTTTAAATATTGGTACTGATCAGCATTGCGAAGTTGGAGGTGCACAGCAAGAATGCGATTTTGTTACCCACTGTGAAGGAGGTGGGCCCACTGTTGCAACGGGTTGTTGATCTCGGCGAATACCTTTGGGCATTACGCAAGGTTGATAAGATGGTTGAATGAGCTGATAGCTAAAGAAAACGCGTCGAATGAGAATAAAATGGGATACCAAGATTGGATGAAGACTTCGCTGTAGTAGCTGCTGGCACCATATCGAACGAACGAGAGGTCTTTAAATTCCAATCGACAATGTGACTGGGGATATCTGTTGGCTCACTTCGATTGTATGTACAGCTCAATACAGTTTCAGTATAAGACGATGGCATGCGGGTCAGGCCTGTGAATGGGGCGGAACTGGTGTGCATCCTCGCGCATCACAGCAGCTTTTTCATTGTGACATTCCCTATATGCAAACTCTTATCCCTAATACGGTATACCTGACCTGTGTTTCAATTGGACATCATCCCACTAAAGTAATGCAGGTGGATAGTATTACTCGTCTGAGTTGTTGATTGATCAATTTGGAGAGTCAAAGGATCATGAATATTTATGTGTTGGTCAATAGAATTAGTCGTGGTAAAATTCACCACAAAACTCATTGATACAAACCTGATGGAGGCTTTCCTTCACAGGAGAACATTTCAGTCTAAAAAAAGTAAAACACTGTGTATAAGGACAACTGATTTACACTCCCTGCCATATCCAAAATTCACCTGTACAAAGAGCTGACATGTGAGTAAGAGAGCACTTTATGACGTGAGCGGAACTGTGGTACTTGAGATCCTGACCTAGCCTGACTAAAAGAGGTTTATCTGCTGAAATCTTTGACAAATACCTAGATCCCACACATGTATTAGGGTGTTTCAAGTCAAGAAATTTACAGCATTTTACAGTCCAGCAAGTTGTCTGATGTTGCAAAATATACCGTAAATTGAAAAAAATGGGACACCTTTTTAGATGTCCCAAATGCTGTTGACCGTATATTTGCAGAAAAAAAACACTGCGAAGTTTAAAAAACCTGTCTGTTTTTTAAAAAGTTTCACAAACATTTTCTGACTTGAAACCCCCTATTCCTCTGGAATTTGCACTTCAGTGCAGAGGTGTAAGAATTTGAACATGGCATTACTCTGCTTTCAATGGTAAGATGCTGCCCAATTTCCAAACACCTGTTTATAAGAACTGGCTCATCAATTATATGTTTCTCAGTGGGCAAAAAAGAAGTACACAGACCAAATATCCCATTCCTCAATTAGCTCAGCTTATGATTTTTGTGTGTGAGGGTTTCTTGAGAGATTTCATCTCTCTTTATTCCTTGATGAGGACTACCCAAATATTCTCTTACCTCAAGGTCAGAGAGTACTGTAGTGGGAATAGTGGCAAAGCCACGCCAGGGCCTCTTTTTGGTTCTCTGGAACCAAGGGCTTGCGGTGTGTACTACACGCCTTTGGGTCAATGGGTGGGTTCTCATTTCTCAAGTTTACATGCTTTGCGTATTTGTAGGGTGGGAGGGTTGGCTCCAAAAATTATAAAGATGAATTTGGTGTTTCAAACCTATAAGTGAGCTAGAGTTGGGTAAGAGCTGTGGTGCTTGGTGAGTCAAAGTCTCAGAGAATTCTGTGAGATCTCTCCAAAGGATGAATTTTCTCAGTTCATCCTTCTGACAAAGACCCATGCTCCAGCCCGACTTACCAGCCCTGCTAAGTCTCCATGGGCTGACAAACCAACATGTTGGTTCTAGCAATGTTTTCCTATAGATGACTTAGGCAATTTGCACAGTTTTTTTGATGATTAGATGCATCAGCTTGCAAGTTGTATATCCCAAAAGAATTTGAATAAGTAGCTAATTTCACCATTGTTTCCTACTCTAAAATGTGAGCTGCCCACACATATCAATTTTTCAGTCATGCACAAGTACACAAATACAAAGGAAGTGAGTTTGTGATCAAGAATTTTAAAGCTTCAAACATATGATAATGTTTATTTTGCAACATGTACAACTATAGGAACAAACCATGAAAAGAAATAGAACAGAGAGATAAGAAACATACCTATGAGTCATGCACAGATACACAAGTACAAAAGAAGCAAGTTTGTGATCAAGGATGTAAAAGCTTCAAACAGATGAGGCTCTAAGCTTGTTGCTGACACATATAGTGGGTTGTGTCAAGACTGTGGTAGAGGGAATTCTGACTTTGTACCACCACAGTTAACTTTTGTGCAGTGACTTCACAGCCGCGACTTCTTTCTATTTGTCTTAGAGAATCCACAGCTGTGCCGTAAATCTGTAACGTAGAGAGGGTGGCACAGATTGGTTAGGGCAGTGTTTGAGGTATAAGAAAAACCATGCACAGCCGTAATTCCCTCCAGTACAGTTATTAGCAGTATTTAGCGTGATTTTTGCATATGCTATGAGTGAGTGAGAGGGAATGCAGTTTTCAAAACACACCTCTGTTACGGTCAGTCTCAATTAATCTCCTCTTCAATTTCATCCATTTGAACCCTATATCTAATTCATCTTTGTCTTTCTCAATGGATGTTTGACCTGACCTGATCTTAATGAAGACAAATTCATGGATATCCTCCTGGATGATGACAAGGATGAGGAATCAGCCATCCAAAATGCAATGATACAACACTGGGTCATTCTCCAATGTAGAAATATTCTTCAAAGTGGAAATACATGTGCTAGTTGTCAAGGTCCACATTTGAGAATCTTTTGAGATCAAGAGGACATGCAAAGCTTCATCACCACCACTTTGCTGATTCTCCCCAATACCCACTCAGTCGCTTTTGACATTGTTTTTGGGTGAGTCCTCCACTCTTCTTTTGCATCTGTGATACTTTGGAAAGATCAAATTGCTACTTTGAGCTGAAGCAGGATGCTGTGGGCACTTTGGGCTTCTCTTAACAACACAAGTGCACAGCAGCAATACAACAACTTGCTTATGTAAAACCCCCCAATATGTTTGACAGGTACTTGGAAATGGGTGAATCTACAGCAATTTATTTTGGGCCTGAATATCTTTGAAACCCCACTGAGGCTGACCTCAAGCAACCTCTGGCTGTAGTGGAGGAACAAGGAATGCCTGGTATGTTAGGTAGTTTAGATTATATGCATTGGGAATGGAAAAATTGTCCAACAGCATGGCATGGTCAATATTGTGGGAAGGAGAAGGCTCCAACCTTGGTTCTTGAGGCAGTGGCTTCAAAGGACTTGTGGATTTGGCATGTGTACTTTGGTTTACCAAGAACTCTCAACAATCTCAGTTCACTTGCTCAATCACCAATATTTCTAGATTACCTCAATGGAAAACAGCCTGAGGTCAAATTCACTGTTAATGGCACCAAATACAGCCCTGGTCACTATTTGCCTGATGGAACCTACCCGGAATTCACAACACTCATCCAAACAATATCTTGTCCTGACACACCAATGAAAAGGGTAAGTTTCTGCATTTTTTAACCACAGCAAGTCTTCAAGTTCTCATTATTTTTTTACTCATCATCAACAGCTTCTTGCAAAAGTTCAAGCAGCTCTACAGAAAGATATCAAATGGGCTTTTGGTGTCTTACAAGCACAATGGCATATTTTGCACAATGGTGGGTGGCTGTGGTCAGAATCAGGTCTGGAGTAAATTGCCAAATGTTGCATCATACTACATAATATGATTATTGAAGACAACAAAAGATAAAACAAACCCAACCCTTACATGGCTCAAGAGGGCAGCTTTATGATTTGTCCAGCTGAAAGCAATACGGCTTGGATACAAAATTGGGCATGATATTTAGCAAACTTTTGACACATGCGCAATAAGAGAGCTCATCATCAACTGAAAGCCAACTTAGTGTAACACCTCTGGAATTCAAAAGGAGCAGTGGAGATTGTACCCACAACCAACAATTAGTAGTATTAGTTTGAACATCACCTTTAAAGATTGTATGGTGGTCTCTTATGATTACCTCATCATCATCACATCCACATCCTGAAACACCTTATTATCTCATCTTCTTGCTATCAGAACCCCTCTATGCCACCCAATCCTCACCTACTTCCTACCAACTGTGGCACAACACAAGGACAATGTGTTCAGAAGCGCCACACGCGCAAGAAGACATGAGAAGACGCAATGTCGGACATTTCCAATCAAAGAATGAACATGGAAACACCACAAGAACCAGTTCTTTGTCTCAAAAACCAGTCTCTGTCCATGATCTTCAAAGTAACTTCAATCAAATTAAATGTGATAGAAGCTCAGTTGAAAAAGCCAAATGAAGCCACTCAATTTATTGGAGATTGGAACAACAGATCAGAACATTAAGCAACATACAAACAATCAACACGGTCCAGCAGGTGCCTTCAAAAGTATTACCAGCAAAACCCCAAGTCCTGGACTACAGCAGCAACAAACAGCCTGAAGATCACATCAACTCAGATACCCCAACCATCACCAGCAAGCAAGATTGTTAAAACATGTAGACCAAGTCAGGTCATCATCAGCAATATCAATGTTGAAGGGAGAAAACCACCATTTGAAGGCCTTGAATCAACCAACATTGTCAAGCGCGTAAATCAGGCACTAGCCCAACTTGACGTGAAGGTCCCGGCACAAAAACTTGAAGTGAAAGGAGCGGCTGTTTTACCTTCTTGATGCATCAAACTCTTCATGTCTACTAAATCTGAGGTGGACTGGTTGTTGGAAAACAGAGCTGTGTGGTTGTAGCTAGCTGACCCTGCACTTTTAACATCCTCTGCAGTTTTCCCATTTGTGATTGATTCAGTCCCCACAGAATACTTCTGAAACACTGAAGAAATTAAACAAATACTGGCCAAACAAAACTCTATCCCAATTGAAAAACTCATTCAATTAGATGGCTGAGTAAACCAGCCCAAACAGGCCAGAGTACCGGTTCCATACTTGTAAATATTTTAGACAAAGAGCAGACAAATATGATGTCCAGGGGTTCAGTCTACTTTGAGGGTCGCAGTTTGAGGGTGAGGGTGTGCAAGAAGAATTGTGTATAATGTTTTTGTTGTCAAGATCCTGGTCACATCAGTTTGCAATGCAAAAACAAAGTTATTCACTGTGTCCTTGTGGCAGTTGCCCAATGACGAGCGCACACGGAATGCCTCTGAGGCACAAAGGTGACTCATGTGCGCTTGTTGATGAGCAAACACCACACGGGCATGGTGATTTGTAAACATTGTGGAGCAGATCATGACTCACAAGCCTGCCACCTCCCCAAAACTCAATGCCCACATTGTGTTGAATGTGTAATCATTGACACCTCAATGAATCCCAACACCACTATTGACAAGATGAATTCAAAATGTGCCCATTCAGCTTCAAGCACAAATTGCCCAATAAGATCCAAGAGTCTCCTAACTTAATCACCTCAATCATGTTAAGATACAACCACAACCAAATTCCATGTGGTCCTCCTCCTTCTTCCTCTATTCTCCCTTTCTCTCTTCATCCGACTGGACCATCAAAAGAACCCACACACAAAGCACCAGACAATATTAACATTGATGATATTGCCTCACCCTTAGGAGAAAATAACCTCAAAATTGCTCAACTCAACTGCTTCAATAGACAGGCACTTGTAGAAATTTTATTAGCTGATGGTTTATTTGACATACTCATTCTACAGGAACCACAGGTCAATCCAGACACTTTACAAATACCAACACATCCGGCCTGGCATGATGTCATGGCTTACATCTATCCTAAACTAAATTCAGTGACTCTACAAGCTTGGCCATGGTGGAATATGCAGTTCAATGGTCCCATCCCACTCAACTCTCAATCATGCAAGGGCAAAGTGGACGCCATACTGGGGGATGGCAGAGGATGGCAGTCATTGAGACTCAAAGTGCATTGTGATGACATCTTTTGAAAACAATTGGCCCCATACATGACAATGTCAGCAGTACTGGGCAGTACACTCTACAAAACCACTTTGTGAGCATGTGGCGAGTGTTCAGCTCATCACTCATGAATTACTTGCATATTGTCAATTGTGCCCAACTCCTTAAGCCATGGTCACTGATCAGTTTCATTGATATCATCTATTAATCTTAACATCAAAACTTAGAATGCCTGATGATGATAAGTCTGTTGATCATTCAGAGCTGGAACAACTCTTTCAAAATTTTCTGTTGTTTGAGGATGGTATGCAGTAAAGAGCAGAAGATGAAGAGCAGATCACAAAAAATCAGCCAAAACGCATCATCTCTAGCGTTACGCAATCATTTGTGCACCCAGGAAATAAGTTGGATGATCATGGTGAAATGATCAAGATGTGAAGAAGACTGACCATGGTATCATTTGGGTTGGTGACTGGATGTCCAATAGTTCGAGAATCTTCATAAATCTCATAATCATTTCCACCTTTATAAGTTTTATCACCAAAGAAATGGATTTCTTTGAACCCTTCTTTCTCTACATGTTTAAGTGCATAAGTCTTATCCCATCCTATTTATCCCACAAAATCATGAATCAGCAATATGAAATGGAAGTTAATACTATCTGAACGATTATGTAGGTATAAAGACTTACCGCTGGGAAAGACATCGAATGAAATTTGACCTCCGATTGAGTAAGTGAGACCGTAATCAGCAAACTCTTTTCTTAATTTTTCCACAAACTTGGCTCGGATTTGAGTCTTTTTGTCGTATTGCTCAAACTCATCTCGTTCCTGGACACTGTGATCAAAATGACATTAGTATGTGCTAATTCTTTTTTATGAATGTAGCTGATTTCAATTTGATCGGTCATTAGAAATTCAACGTACGATGCATTACGTCCGATCGGCGATACGTTCTATAGTTTGATCCCAGTGAAAGAAAAGACAATATATCAGGATCGCATCGATAGACTTGTTCATCTAACCAGCCCAAAACTTACAATCATACCATTTCGGAACTCGATGAAGGTACCTCTAAACTCAGCCCCGAAAAGAAACAAGAGGAGGATCAGCAACATGTCCCGCAAATCTGGTCATCTGTCTCTCGATCCATCTTGTAGAAAACATAGAAATCAAACTCAACCGTTTCACCGGGATATCTATCTCGGACATCTCCTTCAAGCAAAAGTTAACCAATTTCTTGTATTTGTCCTCCCCTAAGAATTTAATAAAACTTTGACTTGAAAGTTCTGTTCCCATTTTATAAGCCGTCAAACCGTTTTCTGCAAAACAGTAATCGAACTTGTCCAAGACTTTTTTTGTTCCAACGAGAAAAGCAAGACAAAAGATAACAAAACATTCAGATCATTTTTTTTCGATCGAATTATACAGATGAACAGAGAATTTGAACAAACTCACTATTCTCGCCAGAGACTTCAAGTTGTTCCCTAATTTTCACAAGATCACTACCTCCTACAAATCCAATCACCACCTTTTTCCTCAAGTCTCCTAACAATTTGATCATCTCAGGTGAAGCCTGTCGACGAGCCGGAGTGAGTGTACCATCAACGTCAAATAAGACTAATGTGGAGCCTAGAATGATGGTTTTTCATTAGCCTCAAGCTCTTCATTCAAAGATTTTTCGAGATATCCAAGAGAAGACGGAAATCCTGAAGGATGAGAAAGGCTGATAAGGTAAGACTTACCAAGTGGTCGTGATGCAAATTCAGATGCCATTCTTAAATCGGTGGTTTCAGTAGTTTTCAGGATTCTTCCACACGGATATCTAGTTTTTCTGAGGAGAAGTAGCCAATGTGATGACTTTTGAGAATGGTTATATATGTATCCGAAAGATTTAATTAATGGTGAACGGTCAAGTGAGAGAGAATAGCGGATCGAAAGTCTGTGGCTTGTGATAGAAAAGCCTCCTGAGCACTTGCAAATTGGATGATCTCAGCTCAACCTTGGTCAATTTATGTATCTAACCTATGTAGACGAAACATGAGGTCATCAAGGTTGACAACGGGAAGATGTACATACAAAACTGTATGAATCATTATTCGAATCAACACAGATCAACACGGTGTATGAAAAAATCGAGTGTTTCGTGCGAGGACCCCAAAGTTATAATTTGGGTAATTTGCTCAATGCTACGGCTACAATACGATAGATATTCTGGATGGGTTCATTATTCAAGGACGCGAGTACCGCTGTTATCTCAAGAGATAGGGATTGTGGACTCAAAATATGTATCTCAAACTCATGATTGTAGATCATGCTCTTCTTTCACGGTTCGATAGGCCTGAATGACATAAACCATAGCGAGTCCTCGGCTGTGCGTGCTGTTCGCAGACATACTCTCAAGATTTCACTTGCACAGCAGGATTACAACTGCTTGCCTGATGTCATTTGGCTGCCTGTCATATCAGATGAAGCTTTATGCGGAGTTAAGTGTCCAGAGTGAACATTGATGTAGTGTAGAGTAAGCAGTCCACCAATTAATTAGGGATCACAAGGCTAATAAGTGGTGGATGGGAATTTTGATGTTGGAGCAAGGATCTAGGAGAGTAAAAATGAAGCATACTGAAAGACCATGAGTCCGGCCAACATCATGATATGCAAGCATGGGGCTTGCATTGCATAGGAGGAAATTTTGCAATCACCGAAACAGGAAGCTGGAGATCCCTGAACTTCATTACCAAACTGTAGAAAAACAATCGACATAGTTTCATATAGGTAGAAAAACATGGTTTATGCAGCAGCATCAAGGATTGTTGAGTCACCGGCATCGAGACTGGGTAGCGTCAAAAAGATCATTCAACATCAGTATGAAGTCAATTTTAGAGAGTATCAGGAGCCAGGCGCGAACATTGTCATAACTCCAACACGGAAGAGTTTTCCAGATGCGGTTCCCAGTGCAACGTTCGAACCTTGGTAAAGATGGACGGGTGTCTAAAGAAAAGAAGAGATTGGAGTGAGCAACGCTTGTAACGTCCACAAAAGCCGCACGGCACATAATTCTACATGAATTCAAAAAATTCGGTTGTGTCTGACCTTGGAAAGCATGGCGTAGTATTCAATCTCGGATCGTCGAAGAGGTGGGGTGTTTCCGGAGACAAGAACGAGCTTGGCTGTGGTTGTATAAAATATCACGAGAATACCGTCAGATCGCTGTCTTCATCATTTCAAATAGGTAGTTGTGAAGGGGGCACAAGGAGTGTAGGGTTGTGAATGATTTTGATGGTGGGGGCTTCTGTGTTGTGATTCATTGATCTAAGGTTTCGATTTGTGAAGGAGGCTTGAAGTGATGTCGGTTACGAAAGTTCGTAGTGGTCGCTTGGAATGTGAATGAGGGTGGTTGTAAAATCGAGAGTAATGCTAGGCTTGAGATTTACCTTTTCCACTTCGCATCGTCTTGAGGGTACTCTTGTAACCAAGGGTGTATTTACCACTCTTGATGGTGAGGGCAAGCCTTGAGTTGATGTTCTCGGAGGACTTCTTTGCTTTCTTGGTGGGGGCCATTGCGTATGGGGCGTTTAGTCGAGAGTCGCGGGGATGGATAAGGGGTAATTGCTCAACAGGCCTCGTCGTCTGCTGTCACTGAGGACGGTTCTCTACAGAGTCGACGAGCGATACTTGCTGCGCATCTCAAATAGGTTTCAGCTCTCCCAATTCAACGCTATTTCTCTCTCATCATCTAGGTCAGGGGCTTTTCACAATGGTTTTGTACATGGAAATACAGCTGAAGTCACGTGCTGTGAAACGGATAGCTGCATGAAACACGTGAACAGGTCGTCATCGCTATCAGGCCGAAGATACATAAACCGAGCATCTTGCCCTCCCCTGCTGGTCATTGCTTGTTTCTTTTATCAATACATTGCTGCCTCAATTCCTCTGAATTGGTCGAAATAAACTCCTTTGGAACGGCGGAAACAGACTCCCTCGGATTAGTGACAACTCCTTCACATTGGTGGCAATACTTCATCGGAAAAACCCGCACCAAGAATCACGAAACCATGTCATCAGATGAACCAGTCTTCAATGCGGCTCGCTATCCTCACTTGCGCACGACTTTCATCGATCGACGCCCGCTGTCTCAGCCCTCCTCACCGTCTTCCTCCACGTCTTTTGACCTTGATCGCGAATGGGTCGAAAACATCAATCAACTTCATCTCCTTGTGGATGTTGTCCTTTTACCTGTACTCGGAAAGTGGCTCGGGCGCAAGTCGGCTTATTGGATTTATACACGCTATCAACGATTCGGGTTAGACATATTCGCCTACTTTTTCGGCAGAAGAGCAGCCTGAAATCTATCAAACTGAGCGAAGCAGCATGCCTGTTGCGCCGAATTCTTCAAGCACGGGGACTTCGTTGAACCTGATAGTCTTCATGTAGATATAGCGTTAGTCTTCGATTCTCAGTTTGTGATATGTCTCCATCATCGACCTAATCATACTCCTCTTCATGTCTTCAATTTTGTCCCTATAGGCTTAATGGGCACGACGTGCGGCTATCTGAGGAGATCAACCATCATGTCCAACGAGTATTCTGATATTTGCTATCCATTTTCGCATTCCGCAGTCATTCCTTTTAACTTAACAAACCCATGCCCGGCTTGTAAATGCCCCTTTTCCCCTCCTGGCTGCTTTCAATGTAAAATTCCTCCGAGTGTTCTCCTTCTGTCGGTACCTCATGCGTAATGTACCTTCTATTTGCTGTTAGCTACAATTGACGTGTAAAGGTTGAAAACCGTTGTGTCAAATCACCATTCATAGCACCCCCAACAATTCTATGTGGCCTACAAACCCTCTGTTTGCTAACATCAGATATGCTTTAGAATACGTAGCAGCCAGTTTGTTAAGTACAGAAATTGAAGAGCAGAGAAAAAGACCTGAGGTCAAACAAGACCGGAAGAAGAATACAGATCAACATATTCAAAGATGACTTGAGAATGTCCCCTTGGATTGATTGACATTAGATAGACTCCAGATCCGCTGGAAATGCGAGTTTTCTCCTAGTAGACCGATGATAAGCTCAATCTGAACTGGTGGTAACAAACACTCGAGAATCATCAAATCCCAGGCCGACAAGCAAAACAATCCGTGGCTTCAAATGCAATGGCACAATGGGAATGGATGATAAGGGTAGCTAATCACCCTTTCACACTTCATGACGCCGGAATGTGCCATACATGGACGGCCGTACGAAGGTGAAGCTGCTCCGCTGTATATTTTGAATGTAATCTCACACACCACTCACTCACTCACATGATACATCGAACAATTCCACTGAGATGGGGGTTCTCTGCTACTCGATATCAGATCGCTCAGACCTCGGTCACTTCAGCAATGTGCGGCGCAACCATAGTCAACTGAGTGAATATGTAAGGTCACTTGGCTCACTCTCAAGCCGCTCTTGCGGGCTTCTACTCGTCAGACTCTTGCGTCCGAGATAAACCAAGATGCGATCATGTCGACCGCCAGACTTGTATGATATATATGTGACGTTGTCAAGCTGCCTTAGTGCAAGATGGGAAGCTATATGAATCACTTTGAAGACCTTGACTCCAACTTGGCCAGCAGTTAGACACTCGTCACGTCGAGACCAATGCGATAAATGAATCGTAATTGGAGTGGCGGCTCATGATAGGAGCCTCTCAAGATCGAATCTAAGTCAGGTTATCTTGTTTTCAAGGTGCGTGAAAAGAGGCCAAGTTTTGTCTTGAGAAAACGTTGTGCTAGATTTAGTTGATCCCACAGGCGAGAAAGGTAGGGCTCTCGTAGACCTCCACCGACGAATCACCTGATCTCCTCAACATGTCCAAGTGTACAGGGCCTTTTTGACTCATGGCCTGCAGTGAGCTGAGCGCTTCGAGTGGCGAATCAAGTGCTCGTTAGCATAGGGGAATGCGTTCATGAGCTCTTGCATATGTTATGTGACCTAATAGCTCTGCGTCAAGACTTGCATATTCAATGCCGTTTGGATTTGACGCAGTCAAACTCGGTTGAAATCTCGATGGAAATTTGGAAGGTGAGCGCGCTAAACGGTATGAGCGTCAAGGGCTAGATTGAATTCGCACATCACCGCAATCACGATCAATGTTCTAAAGGCTCTTTGCTCAATTCTCACTGCGAAAGGTTGACAAGGCCGAGCATGCCGACCGCCAAGATGATTTATTTTCCTCTTTAGCATCACTATATTGGCGAAAGCACTAGCTTCTTCATTCTTACCTGCCTGTTTAGCTTCGCTTACATCTCTGACTGCGTTAGTAGGGATGACAGGTGGGAGCTTGCTTCTATGGCCAATGAAAGCACTCTGGTGTAGAGGATCGCACTTTATAAACCAGCACCTTCGTGTTCTGGTGGACTGATTCCTCATCGAATTGCGTCACAGCTATTCATCCTTACATCTTCATCCAATCTTTACAAAGATCCATCCAATCTTTACAAAGATCATTCAAAGCAAATCCGTCAACAAAAATGTATAACTCAAAACGTATTTTGAACCTTTTGTTCGCTGTTTCCATTGCTGTTCATCTGGCTGCCGGTTATGCCATTGAGAACAAGAGAGAGGTAGAATCCCTCCACAAAGTACAGACCAACTTATTTTCATAACAATCCCTCAAAATCCTTTGCTGATCACTCTCCTTCTCCGTTCCTTTACCTGATATCACTGTTAAGCAGGAACCCTCGTATCATGGGCCTGCCAAACCGCCTCATGTGGTACGACGTCCTCTCCATACATTTTTTTCATCTCATACCATGAGGATACACGTGGCTAATATCCAACTGAACTTACTTTCTCGATTCTTAACCATTCACAGCGATATGAACGTCCTGCGGAGCGTCATGCAGACATGCCTCACAAAGAAGAAGGCCCCAAGAAAGAAGTGAGTCTATTGTCCCTTTGTGCCCGCCCTATCTCTATATCCCAGAGCTCATTGGTTATCACTTTATCAAAGAAGCCACACAAGCATCCTGAGGGACCGGTTGATTCGAAGTCTCCCAAGGGACGCGAGCCATCTTACGCCCCAAAACCTGGTCACGAGGAAGGAAAACCCCACCCCGTTCCTTCTAAGCCCGCTCCGCATGCATTATGGGCTGAAGAGCCCACTGGCGATAAGCCAAAAGCACCAGACACTCCACTCCCTGAAGTCCCCTTGAAGGACCCCGTCCCCAAGCCCAAAGGGCCACCACCCCCACCACCTCGCAAACCCAGCACTGATCCCTTGAAAGACCCCATCCCACCTCGTTATCCTGCCGACAAGCCCAAAGGACCGGAGAAACCCAAACCTCTCCCCAAACCCTTAACCGATCCCGTCCCACCCAAATATGTCTCCCCCAAACCACTCGAGCCACCTACTTCTGAGGCTCCCAAAGACGTACCTGCCCCCGCTCCCGAAACCCCTGCCGGCGATGTCAAACCCACCCCTAGCGAATCCACTACCGAACCAAAATATGCCGCTCCCAAGGAAACCAAAATCTTGCCTGCCATGCCACCCAAACCTCCGGCTCCACAACCCAAGCCAGTCCTCCCTGTCCCAGACAAGAAACCAGCCCCGCCAGTTGAAATCCCCGGCTATAAATCCCCCATGATCCCAGTCCCAGTCCCGGAAAAGCCAATCAAGCCTGTTCCTACTACCCCAACCAAGAACCCAATCACCTCCCCTGTCGAATCCAGCCCCAAGCCAGAAATGCCATCATATGGCACCGAGCCTTCTATGGTACCTGTTGGTGAGGGTAGAATGTAATTGGTACGTGATTTTCCCCATCCTGACTCTGCTTTCCTACCAACCTGAATCTCATTTCCCCATTGTAGGCATCGACGTAAATACGATCCATCAAATGTTATCTTGATCACCTTCATTCAATAGGAAGCCTTGATATACTGTTACATTTTCCAAATTGTTTTATCTATTTTTCATTCTTTTGTTCTTAGGAACTCTTGTTCTTCTTTACCACACTTCAATGAAGGGGTTGAGAAATTTGATTTATCTGTACGCTTGTGTTTGACCATGATGAGCTCATGTGAGCCAGTGTCCTGCGTGAAATGAAACCACATTGACTCATCGCAACAATACCTTCGCTCATACTTTGATTTTTTCGACCATCCGTCATGAAAGTAATCATGCTGTATGGCAGTAGCAATGGTTATCTTACCAATGACTTGACTGACGGCTTCTCCTTGTCGCCCATATCCACGTCCATGTTCCAGTCCTAGGTAAATCTAGATGTCTTGAAAAAAGAAGTTGTTCTCTGTCACTACTTTCCGAGGACAATCTTTCCAGGGAGCCATCTTCACGTTTGCCAATCATACGAGCATTTATCTCATCACCCATATTTACTAATCACTATCTTCCATTTGATCCCAATGTACTGCTTCCGCTGACACGAGTAACTTTGAACGCGCGTGCGCGAGGCAGATGATTGCGTCCCGTTATCACCGGCAGCGGGAGAGCTGACTGCGACTTTCTGCAAGTAGAGCCAGTGATTTTTAAGTGAGATGGCACATGCCTCATATGCTCATACTGATACTCTCTCCCAATCTGCTCAGAACTGACAAATGTTGGTAGCCTGTTTCAACAATAAATCAGGATTCAACCCACAAATTCAGTGATTGCATCCTTTCCGACGCTTCGTGAGAGCAGTTTGTCTAAGAGCCGGGCATATGTAATCATATCGCGTTCAGATAAGAGAGGTTCAGAAGGTGTTTCGCGTGACAATCGGTATTCCGACAAGGTGATTGTGCGATGTATATAGCTCATTGGCTTTGTTCATACGATACATGGAGTTACTAAGAGGCAAGCTAAGAAATGGGCAAGTTGAGTTTCTAGAATGACTATCTATTGTGAGACCAACGCTCATCGAATATCGGGTGCTCAAATGGAAAGTGTGATAGCTTCAAACCAATTCCAAGAATGGTTCATTATACACAGATTTGATAAGAAAATCGGCTACATGTTGAATGCATACAATCACTCATCCTATGAGATTAGATGCTAAGTCGTTTGGACATGATTTCGTAATCAGCAGGATCTGCACCCTCAACTTGGGAAGGAGAGATCTCATCGAATTCGTAGCTATTTAGTAAAGATTCAGTAAGCCTCAAACCAGATTTCTATCCAAACAAATGACTGACTTCATCTTGTTCAAGTAGAAGCTTAAAGCTCTCGTGTTTGCTATTGATCGATTATTGCTGATTAGTATTTCGTACTTCGTATGTGCGCTCAATTTGAGATCGAGACGCTTATAAGACGCACTTTTGTGAACTGTGAGCATGACCTTCTTCATCTTCCAACTTTTGCCAATCTCTTCTAACAGGTTCATAAGAGCTCGTCCTAGGCCATTTCCACATGCGTCTTTCCTAAATTGAAGCTCGTAACTAAGAATGAATGACAGGTGAGTATTATAGAAAATGAAGAGAACTCGTAAATGATGATCAGATTTGCAAGATTTTTACTAACCAATACGCTACCTCGACGTCATCACTACCCATTGTTTCTTCCCAATCAAACCTCCAAATCAAGAAACCTACCACCATATCGTCCTTTCCTAGCACTAACAAAAACTTTCCTTCTGGATCCCGCATCTCTTTGATTTTTTCTTGAGCTGAATAACCTGATTCACTACTTTCATATCTATATGTTCACTTTTGAAGTCAATTTTTCAGATCAATCTTTCGGCTGCAGCTTTGTGAAGCAGAATATATTGAAAAGAATTCCGCTCACATTTGTTTCATGTTCTCTTCGAAAATTTCAAAACATGTCTTCATATGCGGTTTGTTTTTCAATTCTTGCGCATGTGCCAAAATAATATCGTACCTAATGATTTTACAATGAATTTCTCGACATTTGTGAGATTATATGGGGAAATGGCTCAACTGAGTATTCTCAAGTTTGAAGCGTGAGCCTGACTTTCCAAGACGTCTTGAGAGTTCCGCACTGGAAGCCTATTGATACGTTATTGATGGGCAGAAAGAAAGACGCGTTTCCGATGAGCTTTTGGACTTAGAACTGGATTGAGTGCGTTGATGTATGATGGGTATTAAATTGACCTTTTGCGCTAGCTGTACCAAGTCTTTCATGATGGATTTCTCAGTTTTGATAGGTCAGTCGATATTTATCAATGAGGTGCAGGAACCTGCAGGAACTCATGGAGTCGGACGCGTGATGGATCTTGGGTGATCAATTTATCAAGTCCCAACTCCCAAGTAGATTGGATCCGAGTATGTAGTGATGTCCGATTGCACCCCGTCTGTCGTGATTACCCGATGATTGTGCAGAATTGAACCGATGAGGTGGTGAAGAATCAAGAATCAAGAATTGGCTGTTTACCTTCACACTCACCGATTCAACAACTCTCAACAATCCTCAACAATCTTATCATATCCTTCAATATGCCTAATCCGATACCTCGAAAGTCGATACCTGCTACTTCAGCCGATCCCAACGGACCTTCTCCTATCAAAGTCACGTCCAAGAAGCGTAGCAAGAGTTTAGGCGGCGCGCTCATCTCGCGACGCTCAGATCACAATCTTACTGAGCCGATTGAATTGACACCAAGAAAGAAAGCTCGTCGAAGCTTAGTCAGTCATTAGTTTGAATCATCTGTACGGCCGTCACCTTTGATTATTCATTCTGGCTTGTTTCTCTTAGGTGCCCGGAAAATCTATTCTAAAATCTCGTCCTACGATCACTGGCCTTGAACGATCAAATAGTGACAATTTCATGAATTCAGCGCAACCTCTTCCCTCACACCTTCATCATTCAAATTCGATGCCATCTGTGTCAGCTACAGTTCGATCATCTTACCCAAAACCCCTATCACAAGATCAAGTTAGCGGTCTTACACGACAAGATATGCAGCCTTTCGAAGAACTTCCAAACATACAAACCAAAACCTCTACCAATGATGATGACGAGTCCAACTTCAGCTCTGACATAGAACTTCCCAATCAACTTCTCTCACGTCGCGCCAGTGTGGCTTCTAACACCACAAGCTCCAACTTCCGCCGCGTCAGTTTTGCTGCCAAAGCTTACGTCAGGTAAGTTAGACCATTTCAACATTCACTTGCCTCAACATCCTTCTGAGCTCATCGCCTTTGAATTTTATAAATCACATTTCATTCCAGAACCTTTGGAAGTCCAATGGCCGGTCTCCCATCCTCGTCACCTCTGCCATCTCCTTCTAAGAATTCTGACCAGGCTTTAGGTTCATCGGTCGAAGATGGAGGCGAGAACAGCGCAGATATGAGCATCGACGATCCATCAGGTCCTCCTCCGATCCCACAACCATCCAATTTAGCCTTATCTGCTCAGATATCCTCAAACACAGCTTCTGATCCTGTAGCTTCTGCTGGTCCTAGTCATCAAATGTTACCCACATCAAATAAACCCAGTCGTCTCTCTATATTTGCCAACTTTGATCAACCTGATGTTGATGATGAAGACGAAGAAATGGAAGATGCCGATAGCTTGATCGATCCACCAGTTGAACTAAGCAGTACATCAGTTCCTTCAACACAGTCACTTAAAGAATCGAATGTAGCACTCCCCAATCAAGAGCCAGTCTCATCAGTTAATAATATCTTCTCACAAACCTCCTCTCAATCATCTCACTTGCGAATGCTCGATCAAGTGCCCAGATCACCTACCATTAATTCCTCTGCATCGAAGCCCTCCCAGTCTTCTCAAACGGACAATTCCAAACAAGTACCAATCCTACCAGTGAGCAATCCGCATCCATCCAGACCCGCCCCACCAACTTCCGATCAAGCGCTCACCTTCTCGACTGGTACATCTCTACCTAAACCTTTTGGCTCTCAGTCAGCTCCGCTACCCCGCGAGGATACTAGTCAGGACATGGATATCACGAGTCCTACTCGTCCTGTACCATCGAGTAGCACAATCGACATGAGACCTAGCCAAATTCCTCGCCCTAATTTTGCAGCCGGCCGTGAACCTGCTCGCAGACAGCCTTCGGCCACTGAATTGCTCAAACGGCTCAAATCTAGCCGACTCTCGATGGCTTTTCCCGAATACTTGCGCGAGGATCTAGACCACACTGAAGATGTCACGTCTACCCCTGCTGCTCCTCTTCGTTCAGAAGTAACTAGCTCATTCAGAAAATCGCTGGCACCTCCCGTTGCATCCTCTTCAACACAGGTGCCCCTGCTTTCGGACCGAACAACTCGTGTGACTGCTGTCTCAGCTGAAGGAGATGGTCAACAAAAGTCTAGCAGGCTCACTCTGGCCTTCCCAGAATATGCCGATGATGATGAGAGTATGGATGTTGAACCATCAAAACAATCTACTACTGTCGATGCCTTGTCTTCAAAGCCCAGCCGTCTGACGATGTCATTCCCGGAGTATGAAGATCTTGAGGAAGAAGGCGTCGATGCTAGACCCTCTGGTATCCAAACCGACTCGCAAAATCAATCCACAGATGCCAAGAAGAAATCAAGTCGACTCACATTTGCCTTACCTGGATTTGATGACGAGGATGGAGATGCAACAGCGAACGTTGATGATTCCCCTCCATCCCCTAATTTACCCGTTGATCTTGAACCTACAAAGACGGCTGCCGACAACAAACAAACAGCCAGTCGACTATCTGACTTCTTTTCGACTAATGATATCCCAATGGATGAGGATGACACACCGAACCTCATCGATCTCGGCGATCTTTCAGACGAACAGCCTCCACCCAGTCTTCCTGCTATGGCGCAAAATATAGCAAGTGATGTCCCAGGATCGGGTGACGTGAATACTAACTTGTTTACATCTCCCAATGTACCTAATTCCACTGTATCTGCTGTCACTGAAAACCTCGGTGGCGGATCTGAAGTCACACAGGAGCGTATACAACAGGTGTCTGCTTTACCACTTCCTATCTTACCACTTGCTCCCCTGTTGCTTGGAAGGAGGATTTCAGCCTCCCCTTCCAAACGAGCTGGGCGGGTCTCTTCTCCACGCCCACGACGTTCGATGGATCCAACTCTGATTGAAAGCGTTCCTGTTTTTAATAAGACGCGATTATCTATAATGAGCACGCCTCCGCCTGATCCCCCACAAATCGAAGCAGAACAACCAGTGACCAACATATCACAACAAGCCAGGCCGGATACGAGTTCTGTAGTACCTCCATCTCTTCCTTCGATCAGCCTAGAGGAGTTTTTTGAACAAGCTGAACTTCGGTTCATCAATTTAGCCCAACCGCGTGTACGACAAGATCAACCCATTCAACCTAATACTGAAGGTGAGACGGCAAGCTTCAGTGGTCAGATTTATGCTGGAATGGTGAAGATACCAAAACTTCGTGCCCTTGAAATTGTTGAGTGCTTTTTCCATATAAGAATGTTGCGTGTAGATACGAATAGGACATTGACTGACTGACTGAAATTTGGACATGTTTCACTTGTCCCCTCCTTATTATAAAATTCAGGCTGCTCGTACCCTTCGATCAAAGACTGAGTCACTTGATTCAATGACAGCTGAACATTCTAAAGAATTAGAAACCAATTCTAGAAGGTCTGAGGTATTGATGCGTTGGTTTGAGTTGAGAAATAATGGAAATCAAACCGATGGACGATTGTCAAGTTTGTTGGATCAATTAAGGATTGAGAAGACGTGTGCTGAGTTGAGGGCTAAAAAAGGAGCAATCGAATTTGATTTGAAGAATAGGGAAGAGTACCGGAATGAATTAGCCAGTAGAAGAAGTAAACTTGATCGAGTAAGTCATAAGCCATCATACCATCATCCGGATCTTTGAATCTGCTTGGATGTTAATGTTTTGATTTTGGGGTGTTTTGATGTTTATCAGGATGTAGAGATGGTTAGGAGAGTAGGGGAAGTGATTGCACCCTCTATGGATGAATTAAGGACGAAGAAACAAAATCTTGTTGAAGAGATTCAAAAACGTCGAGCTAAGATTGAAGAGATTGAGAAATGTGATAAAGGTTTATTAAGAGTTTTGAAAGAGGAAACCAAAGATCTAGGGTTAGTTTTTGGTTTTTTTTCTGGATTATTTCTTCCTAATTGACTGATCTTCAATATTCGCACTTCATCAGAATGGCGGTGGAGGTTATGAGAGGCACGTTAGCCGAATCAGAATTTGAAAAGACTTTGTGGAAAGAGAAAGTCGAGGAGATGGCAAGTGAGAAGAAAGAACTCTTGGCACAGATTGGACAATGGAAAAAGAAGGGTAATGGGAAAGGATTGGAATGTACAACACAAGAATTAGTTAGACTAAAAAGTAGGTTGATGTCCCTTGCGTCTTTCTTTTGCGGTCTCGGAAGCTTCACATTTGATCTAAATTGGTTTCCTTCGCAGACGAGTTTGTGGTTTTACAAGACATGATGGCATGGGAAATAGTCAGATTTGACAACGATCGATTAGAATTTCTGTTTTGGTCACAGATTGGAATTGTCTTCTTACTTGAATCAGTTGATCGACATAAAAACAATGAATTTAGGAAAGTGAGACAGATTGAATTGAAGTGGAAAGAAAAGAAAAAACCGGAGAATCGATCAATTTTATCTGATCATGATTTAGTTAGGCAAAAAATTGATGAATTCTTCTTTAATAGAATTGATGAGAGATTTCGGGATCGAAATTTTCAATACAATGAAAGGGTGAAGGTACGTGAAATCTTACTAGAAAGATTTTGATCTGATGATTTTGTTTAAGATATGGAAGGATCTATATTGACTTTTGAATCTTGCATCGGAATAGGATTACGTGTATCAAGTTAGTTCGATGTGGTATTTAGCATTAGAATTGAGATATGAATTCTTGAATATCAGACAAAGGTTCAGAGTATCGGTAGAAGTAGGAAAAGAAAAAAAGATGATGAATGTGATGGTAAAAATGAATGGACAAAGACAAGATGAAAGGGTAGGAGTTCAAGTGGTTTTTGAACTTAGTGGTGAAGAGATCTTGGACTGTACAACATCGAGAAGTAGTGTTGTATCAGGCATTGGGTGTCGGGTCGTTGGATTATATGGGACGACAGAGTGAGTCACATTTTGAGGAGCTGTGTTCTCTTTTTTTTGTAACTTGGTCCTTTTACAGAACCAAGGAAATAATCAACTGATAATCATCTTATTGCGATCATCAGCACGAAAGCTTTGACTTATGTGGCACGTGAAGCCCTTGATCAGTCTACTGAAAGAGGATCATTAAAGAAAGCTTGCGAAGAGGTATTAAATGCATTGGAAACTAGAGAATGATACTTTTGTTATCATCCAAAGGTGTCTTGTTTTCTTGATTATGGATAAAAAGGACATTAGGATGATTATGCTTGGGTTTGGGAACCAAAGAGATTTTTGTAATGCTCGGAATCATGTTGTGATTTTATATTGTACTATTATATAATTTGTACCTATATGTACAATATGATCTTTTGATACTGAATAATCTCTTGACTAGAGAAAATCGTTTGGTATATCTATTTTGTTTGAAGTGAGATCTCCTCACATTGGACAAGTGACCTTTCCCCTTTGAAGGAAAATGTAAATTCCATTGTGATTACTTATGGAAAAGAATGAGATTTTTACATCTTAGATATCAAGTTGTCAATTTTATGAAGCAAATTGTATATATGTACTTGAATATTGAGACTGAGATGCTTTGGTCATGTTGGTCCACCTATTGGATTCGATAGACTCTTGAGTAAAAGACATTATGAAGGTCATAACTTGATACTGAGTCAACGTTTTTTGAGAGCTTTGGATTTGTGATAAACTCCGAACTAGCTTGATGAGCAAGTTGGACGGTCTTTGACAAATTGATGTCATCCAGCTTAACGAGTATTTAGCTTGACACCTTGCTATAACTTATAAGTCGAAGACCATAAAACGCACAACTCTTTCGAATATGAACACCACCGACACGGTTTCTCTATGGATTTTGAACAAATCACATGAATGCCACACTAAGCACCACACGTCTTCAATCGAGTATGTATATATTATAATAAGTTTGACCCTGATGATATTTCGAATGTCATTATCATCCTCACAACCGTGATTTTGTTCACAGGTCAGAAATCAGCTATTAGCCGCGCCTCATGGATCTGGAATTTCAGAACTTGCATTATCTCATTCAGTTACTCTGGTAGTATCGCCATATTTTTATTCTACAAAAAATAATTTATCAAACTTCTTTTCACGTCATTCATTTCTGCTCAAATTTGTCAAGTCCCTAGTATATCTATCAACCTCAGTCACACATATTTCACCCACTAAACAAATCACCATGCGTTTCATTTCTGTCACCTTTGTGTTGTTGAGCGTACTTTATGCTTCTTCAGCAGACTCAAGTCTTAATTTCACGCAAGCAGGTTAGTCCCTACTCTCTAGAGGCATTTGATTGCGGCGTGATGTTTGGCTGACAATACTTGATTTCGCAGCAGCAGCGGTGATTTAATTGCACGAGCACCGGCGCCAGCCCAACCTAGTGGCTCAGCAACCCCCGAAACACGCCGTGAATTGCATTCCCGTTCGCCAGCAGCAGCCCAACCTAGTGGCTCTGCAACCCCAAAACCCGCAGGCAACTAATACCCACTTATAGTGTATGTAGTTGCAATTCTGTGGTATCATGAGAGGTGTCATTGTACAAGACAAATTGTTGACTTTTTTCAACTATGTATAAGACAATTTGTTCGACCCCATGTATACTAACTGCAATTTACCTGTGCTAGAGATGTTCACCATATAAAAAGTGTATATGTCAAACATTGTTCTCTTCCCTTGCTCATTGCTTTTCACAGCACGCTGAAAGTCGAGCCACTTGTTCCTCAATGTCCCTCTCATTGAACATTAGGGAAAAGTTGTTTCTTGGGATGATTGCAATATTGTATGGTGAATTGATTTCTTGTCATTGTTTGTTGGGGAAATCCCCATGCCTGAGCAACCATTGACATCCTCCCATCAAACTGACTTTTCCTTTCCACGTGATCTCATTCTCAAATTACATTTTTGCAGCAAAAAACAAAATACCCATGGGCCCTGAGAATAGTGTGTCATGATAATGGGTCCTCACATGGTACAGCAAGCCTCTGTTCAAGAAGTTGTCTTGCCCAAGTACCGTTCAGTAAACTCATGCCGTGGGTTGAAAAGGCAGTGAATATTAAAGCCTGTCCCGGTGTGCTATTGTCATTAACTTATAACATTTCTTCTGCAGATCAGAGGTGAAATTTGTTGAAGTTGAAGGTATGAGTTAAATATGAAGGTTTTGTCTACGAGATAATGATAAATACAGATCACATATAACTCAAACCATAAATTAGGATATAACTATACGCTCCTTCAATCCATCACTGACTCAACAAATCAGATAGGCAGGTTATCAAACTTCCTACATGCCTTAACTGTATTTTTTTTACGAATGTACTTTCCTATCCCTATTATCATAGGTCAAGAAATTCAAAGTTGAATCAATTTCTTTGATTGTTTTGTTCATTTCCTAAAGGGTACTTTGACGTACCATTGTCTGCTGCAACATAGCATACTGGTAGATTGAAAATACACTCAGAATCCATACCCAATGGAACATTCCTGATGTACCCGCACCCCCAAAAAACCATAAATATCTGTTCAACAAATTGTCAAAGAAACTTAGCATGAGATTGTCACTCACCCATTGTCATAAGGATCGTGGCCGATGCCATATTTATTCTGGCAATCAATAGATTGTTGAACCATATACTCAACACTGATCTTGTACTTTGTTACAATCGCTCCAGCATTGTATAAATTATTTATCGCTTTTGATCCAGGACCGGCTCCAATGATGTTTCGCATCCTATCCAAAAATTCGACATATTTAGTCACTCTCCATCTTGAGATCATAGGCTGATGAAAAACTTACACGCCGTCTTTGGTACAATGGCTTAACCATCCGTCTTCTAGCCTCAGTGCTCCATCTGGTCCACCACCCCAGCAATTACTGGGCTGAAAGTGAGGAGAAAGTGTTCAAAGAACTCAGCAAGGGTTCAAAGCATTTTCGTATGTTGAAGACTTCAATTCAGATTTATCATCGAAGCTCACCCCAGAGACTGTCACAAAAGCTTTCTGTTGGGTTCGTTCGAAAATGAAAACAAGGAGTCTCGTTGAGTATTTTTGTCATGCTGATTCATCAAAGGTTATCTCGAGTGATAGGAGTAGACATACTATCATATTCAAGATATGGTTGATCAACCTAGCCGTCATTATCTCAGTCATCCGCTGCTCGATTTCCACCGTAGATTGCGGTTGTCGGTCAAAAAGAAATTGACCATCTTGAAAACGACCGAGTAAACCTTCTGGGGTACCGATCCCAGCTTTCAAGATCGCGTCCAGTTGATCATTAGCATTTTTCGTAGTCCATTCTTGCCATTGACCGACCATCGTAGTATAATCTGCCCACTTTTTAAAAATGAACAGTCAGTAAATCTGTTTGAATTCTTCACTCGAGCTTCAATCTTCTTCACTCACTCTACTGAAGGCATCTGATTTTCTTGCATCTAGAGCTCTTTGACCTGCTATATTTGATCCTGCGACCACTAAAGAAACTGCACCTGCGACCAACATTGAAGAAAGAACAGCACCACTACCAGCAGTGACGACCAGCATAGTCTAGAAATCGTTTTGAAAAATACATAGAGTCAAGGTTTGATTTTGAGAAAACTTTTATAGTCTCACTTACCACTGCTGCAACTGATGCGGTGACAGCTAGGAGGATGTTGAAAATCTTTGCAACTTGAAACCATTTTTTGGCGCCATTGTCTCCATATTTATAGCTAGGTATTGTAATCCAGAACAAAAAAAATAGTATATATCTTGAGTTGACAGGTGACTAAAAATCTTCTGTGTAGATCAATTTGATCACTTACAGGTCAATTGCAAGCTGAGAAGAGATAGCTAGAATGACAAAACCATCAACATCAATCTCAGTAGGGTGTTCAAAGCTGACGATAGATAGATAGATGTATTCAGAAATGACCAATGCCTGACTTTGTACCATATTTGCAGCAAATCCTGCTGCCTTTATAGTCGAAGCTTGAAATTTACTATAATTCTCCAATGATAACAAAGGATAATACAGCGGACCAGGTACTGGGAGACCAATCTGAAAAATCATGACGCCATTCAAACTGCATAAGCGACAGATTGGAATGATTATTTTTTGTAAGGTTTAACTTTACCTGACCAATATGACATCCTTGAAAAACTCTACAATCGAAATTGTAAATTGAATTTTGTCTGGTTAAGTCCTATCAGAAGATCAAAAGTTTATCAACGGACTGTTAACGAATGGATTCAAAAAAAAATACTCACGGCTACATTCAACTCTTTACCTCCTGGATAGGTGTCTAAATACCCAGATACATTGTATTTCTTCCAGATTTCTGGAACCATTGGTTCCGCTGTGTATATGTTAGGCCATTTCCCATTAGGCGCAGGGTAAGCTGCGCGGGTCAAAAACAGAACGTTGACGCTTCAAGTGAATTTCATTTGTCAATATCTACTTTCAAAAAGATAGGAGGCTCACTCATCCCTAGGTTGTTAGAACCTGCTGGAGAATTCAGGCTGTTGCCTGAAGCTGTGTGTGTTGGAGTCGGATATGAGATGAGAATGTTGAGGAGAAATACTGTTGATGCTTGTTGATAGATTGATGAAATCATCTTTAGTATCAAAAGATGAAGGTTTATATTGTAAATAAACGTATGAGTCTTTTTCAAGACTGATGAAGAGGTAAGAGAGATTCCAGGAACTAAATGAAGTGAGAAGGTGTTCGATAATTTAGGACTGTGATTCGGATTTCTTTATTCCTATACAGATAATCCTAAGTGAGGGGACTTCTGATAGATATAATAACTTGATGAGAAACCGATAATGATAACGGAGTGAAAGCGAATCGTATAACATATAACTCGTGGGGCAAATGAAAAGGGAAAGTTCAAAAAATGTTGCATCCATGATCTTATTCAGCTCGTTTTGGATTTAAAAAAATCACAAGTTAGACCGAGAATCTTATCGAGCGAAGTGACGACAGTTTCATCAATCTCAAACAACACGAAGTCACCTTTTCATCGTTCTTACCCCGAGGTATTCTTTCAGCATGGCCTTCCTCAAGCTCACTTCATCGAAGCCAACCCATCACAGAACCTCGATAGCCGCAGTCAAGACCATAAAGTCCATCTCGTCACAGCCGCATCTCACATCAAAGGACTTTCATGACCCATGTGAACAATTTCAACTACAGCCGTTTGCAGTTTTGATGAACATGCGCCGAAAGATGAGCGAATAATCAACGTGTAAATAAAACAGGTACAGCACAAAACATTCAAAAAGTTTTGGCCGAGTGTTCATCAATTATGAATACAGCTGTATCATTCAGTCGATCTAACAATTCCATTCACCCACTCATATCAGCTAGGATATCAGACATACCCCAGGCTTTACGGAACCCCCACTTCGCAAGAACTGACAGTGCCCTCCAGGCTCCGAGGAGGGACCTCATTAAGTTGGGAGTCGACACATCCCGGTCCCTTGAAGTTGGAACGAGTTTTAACAAAGGGTGATAGGTGATAGGCCAGGTCGAGTTTATGAGATCCAAAAGATGACTTACATAGGTTTCTTTCATTTCCAAAGTTCTATTTCCAAAGTTCTTTATGACGTTTTTGGTGAAGAGCACGCTGTAAAGGTTTTTAAGAAAATCATTGTGAGGTTATGCTTCTTTCTGCGGTACTCAGCTATTGTAATTTCCTGTGCGTTTCCGCCGCCCCTAGGGTCTCAGATCGGGCTGTGTCCGAGGCAATCGTCATACAAGGTCAACCCTGTTGGCGACGATGTAGTAACTTGAAGTTGTGGTAGTGCGGCTATGGATACAAAAGGACTATCATTACAAATCTTCAGATCATGATCAAGAATCATCAAAGAGTCTTGATCAGATCATCATCCATAGTACTGAGTCATCACAATTTCGCTTGGTGAGATTCAATCGCTTCTTGAACGACTCAGCAAACTTCAGACTCATCAACATTTCCAATCAATTAACATCTTTTGTTTTCAGTCTCCATGTTGCTACTTTAGTATGCTTGTGTGATTAAAATTTATTATAAAAACGATAAAGAAAAGTGACGAAAGCCTCAAACGTGCTCAAGTTTTGGAATAACATATTTCATTTAAAATCATACGCATTGTAATGATGAACCTACCCTTTGACCTCATATACTTGTCATGACGAGAATTCAACACAATCTTGAATACATATAGCACTTCAATCCTTGATTCCCAGTGAAATTTGTTTGTATTGATCACAAGTCATTTGTTTCCTTAGAAAATCTGAAAATAAATCCATAAAATATCAGTCCAAGATCGTATTTAGACACAGAGAGAGCGAAGAATGAATGTGACCTAGAGTGAATTCCGAAAATGTAACCTGATCGACCAGTTTTGTCATCCTCAAACGTTCACGTGATAACCTACGAGTTACAGCAGCAAGCTCCGAGTTCCACCAATCATCAGGCCGGTTCGGTTCACAGCAACGGAGTAAGACTTCCAGGGCTTTGTACACGTTCAAGTCAGTAAGATCGGCGTGCTTTTGGTCATTGGCTTGGATCTCAGGGGAGCTGAGTTCCGGTATAAGGTGCATGTCCGTCTCCTTCGTGTTTGATTCATGTACGGGTCCACTCAATCTAATGTAATTTAGAAAACTGTCATAATCTTCAGGTAATCGAAGACTTTTCTTGACCAAGTCAGGGATTTCTTTCATCACTAGCTCGAACAATGTAACAGGCCTATCTTCTTGATAAGTGTACCGGATATGTCTCAACAGAACACATGCACCAGCATAGTCTTTTGCACATAGAAATACTTCTAGACACAGCTTGAGATTGATAGATGTCAATAGACGATGTCGGCTAGGAAGATATGTTGCAGTATCGCTCTGAGATGATCGTACGTTGCAATTGGATGCGTGAATGGTTTCGAGTACTATCATCTGGCACATCAGAGAACGATGCAAGCCTGGTGAGGGCCGCCGTGAAGAAGATTGTGGATTTTTATCAACTTGATAGGTACTATCCAATTGAAAAGAGTGATTAAGCTCGTAAGTCTTCTGTCTGATGGCTAATCGGGCTTCGTACTTAAGTTTGGAACGAAGACTCAAAAGACATAAGGTAAAAGATCGACCGGTGGGTCTTAATTTCCATGCCCTCAATTGACGTTGACCCTGACTAACACCCTTGATTAACTGTGTTTTTCCAGGTTGTGAATGCATTTTGAAGGTGATTGGACGGCGCCAGTGCAAAAGAAACAATCCTATTGATTGATCTAGGAGAGCTTGAAGGACATGAAAGGCTGTTGCATGTGGTCGCCGCAGACCCCAATGAGAACGCATACGGTAACGTGAATCCATCAAACCCTCCAGGACATAGGTATCCAATGCTATTCCATCATTCTGCATACCACCCAAAATGTTTCGCACCATTCGAATATGTTTTTCGGTTATATGCGGTAATCGGGAAATTGCTCGTAGCAAGTTGATATCGGGGGCCACATCGCGAGCTTCTTCTCCCCTGTGAAGATTCCATAGGCGTCTGTAGAATCGACATATGACATAGGCTCGGTCCACATCACGCGAGAGACTATAGGAAGCTACAAGAAATTTGACCAAGCGGCCATTTGGAATATCGATTAGCTGCCAAGGCTGATCGAATGTCTGACGAGGCAGATGAGGATATAAATGAACTCCGATTTGATTTATGAATCGAGGAAAAGCGTCTCTCAAGATTGAAACGAGCCAATCTGGCTCTCCAAGTTTGAGTAAAGTACCAAGGATAACCTCTAGTACTTTGGAGTCTTCGGCCGAAGTTATTTGAATTTTGCATGAAAGGTTCGTTACACTCTGAGCTTTGATATTCTGCTGTTTCGGAGACTGATGACGGTCTTGGTGCCCTGGTTCTTGAACGCGCCTGATTCTTGCCAGAAGCTTGCCAATTTCGATGTGATGACCTATCGAAGCGGATTGTCCATAACCTTTTGCATGTGTGCTAGATCTCCAAGTAAGTTCGTTGCACGCCTGAAAGAATGATACGGCGGCGTGTGTATGCGATGAGGAGGAAGACATCGTCGGACACGCAGCGAGAGAGTCCATGAAAGCTCGAAGGGAATTCAGTGCGTCGATAGCTAATTGAGGGTGACCATATGACCGAAATAATTGGGCTGAGCGTAAGAGTGAGGAGATATCAGCCGATCGGCCACTTGAATCGACATCCCGTCTAGATTCTCGTGTCTTTGCCGTGAGATGCTGATGGTATAGTGAGATGGCTGGACCGAATTTATTAAGTCGTAAAAGTTGGCCAATTCTAGGATACAGCGATTGTTCGATTGTAACTTGACAAGCTCGATGAAAGGGTGTCTTGGTAGGTATAAGATGTCTTGGTATCAATTCACCCTTGTTAGACAAACTACGTGAGCCTGTTGAGCCAAAAACCTGGCGATGCATTCACATTCGAGTTGCAAAACTGCACATCTGCAAGTCTGAACCGAAAAATTTGTACTTGGGCTTGGCATACCGAACCCGAGCTCAACCACAATGCTTTTCACGGTGTCACAGTCCCGGAGCACGCATCACTTGGACAAAACAAAATTGGAGACACAATATCAAAAATTTGTAAGACGCAAAGGCCTCATGAGAAAGTTTCTGGTGAACCTCTGGGGCCTTGGCTTCAAGCTCAACGTCTGGCTCCCTCTCAAAACTTTCACAACAAGCAAAAACAACCGCACCGACGTCTCATGCCTTCATCAAGCCCTCGATATGACATCTAACCCAAAGTTATAAATATCACTCCAAAAATAAAACGTGTTTGCAACGACGGCACTTGGTCCTACTTGGTCTCACTTGGTAGGAGCGAAAAGTTGATCTCATTCTGACTGGGTTTTGATGAGGACGTGTGAACATTTCTCGTGGAAACCTCAATCTCGTTTCTCCTCTTTTATTCAAAGATTGAAAACACCCCACTTGAGATATGCGTTGGGAAGACAAACTATAGGTATAAAAGCTGGATTTTTCTGGCCTCAAAATCTGGTTGCTCGCATAAATTTTTCACTCACATACCTCTCTCATTGACATTTATCCAATCTTTTTATTGCACAAGACATAAGACTCATATTTATTGTTAAACTGTTCCAGTCTTTACAGCCTTTCATCGACTCATATTGTAGCTTGTGTGCCTTCAAACTCGGGGCTTCCTTTTTTACAAATTCAAAACATCCGCATTACCTTATATCTTGTTTAGGTGTTGTAATCAGACCCTTCGAAGATTCCCAATTCCTCGTCTTTTGTTGTCTTTCGCGAGGTAGTTTCTCGATCATTTTCCAACTCTTCTGCCGTACACTCTCGGTACAGCATGTTTGTACCACGCTTCTGTGCCTTGCTCTTTTTGGTAAGTCTTTTCGTTATCAGGCATGGAGGACAAGTTTAAGACTAAACAACGATTTCCTCACCCACCAACTGGTTATATGTGTGAATAGATCTCGAACATGATCAAAGCCGAAGAAGATACCAAAATGATGATTTCCCTCAAGTACAGGTGGGACGAGGGAGACTCACACTTTGCCGGTAAGGTCAACATTGACTGGGATCGAACAGGTACATGTGATCACAGAGTCTTCAAAAGTAACCGCGATAGCTGTAACCCCGCGGTAGCTAAGTTAGAGCCCTTCAGCAATACGACCATGGATTGTATCAATCAGGTTAACGACCATCTCTACAATAAGGGCAAACGAGGGAAATGTACGGCGAAGCGAAATCTGCAATTCAGAATTGACCAGATTAACAAGGATAAATTTTTCCTCATTGAAATAGACAACGTAAGTCCTTAAGCTGACCGAAATCAATGCTACTTTGTCTGCCCTGATTGGCAGAATTTACAGTGCTCTTTACTGACTAAGATCAATTTTTTTCTTCAAATTATCAATCTAGATATGTTGTGGTAAGTTTATTCGTAGTTCTCCCTGACCATGGTTCGGAATTCAGTCTGACCTAGTTTTATCTGTTTAGACCACCGTTGCAAAATCACTGATTTGCCAGAGATTACATGTAATGCTGGTGAGTGATCAAATTCATATTCTTCCAGAAAAATATCAATGCCAGAAGATCTACTGATGTATGTCTGGTTATCTTCAATAGGTCCACCAGGACAAGTTATACATGTGAATGGGCATTATATTGCTGAATGTAAAAATGGGAAGTAAAAATTGAGGCACTTTCTTCATTCCACTCATCTTGCATTGCCCTCATTTCACATTCTGTCATTTGCCGTGGTTACTTCAGCTCTATTTCTGATATTGAAAGTGCATGATTTGTTGTTTTCCAAGATTCAACATTTCAATAGCTTCCATAAATACACCCAAAGTCTTCCAAATCCAATAGATTAACGTATGGACATATCCTTCTTTTTCAGAGTTGTATTCAACATCAAAGCGGAGTAGTTAGAAAATACGAGCTATCAGAAGAGGTGAATCTCATCTTACGCCATGGTATTCAATGATTTTGACTCAGTAAAGAATCTTTTGCTATGTCATAAGATGCCAGTTGAAAGCGACGGCACATATATTTCAGATCGAAAGTTGCGGAAAGAATAAGATGAAAACAAAATACATTCCTTTCAGAGGGTCTTTTTCTAAAGACATGCGAAACATGTACATAGAAAACATGTTGAAGTACTATGTATGTAATGGATGAGTTTGAAGTTTTCAACTTTCAAGTTGAATGGATTTGACTTTTAGCGAATCTTTCATTTCTCTTTGATTTTGACGACAGTAAACAGAGATTTAAGCCTCAAACCATGAATCTTATTCAATCATGTATGGATGGATCAATGTTGATGACATCACAATCAGAAACCTTCACAGCTTCTTGTCTGGAAAATTCTCGTTCCTGCATGTATAAAATGGGGCGACATGTGTGTTCGATTTTCTCCATGTCGTGGAATATGAAGCACTCCCCCACATATCGCTACTTATGTCGAGTATTGCGTGCAATGCGATGCAAAGAGAGATCTTTGGACTCCGAAGATCACATTCGAGTGCTTGAGTTAAAACAACATCCGAAAGCTTACCACATAGAAACCGTGTGTGTTCCAGCGATGGGACGTGGATGAGCCACGTCCAGAAGACTTCAATCAGCCCAGCAGGCAACGCATCTGTCCTTGAAAAGGAAGTTTAACTGAAATACCTCACCAAGTCAATCAATATAATGGCTCAGTGAAGTTGAAGCTGAACGTTCCCAAAATGCGACGATTAGCAAACTGAAGCTCACACTCACGGTCAAATCTCATAACTCACGGGGAAATTGTCCCGAAAAACTAATGCAACTTGGCTAGAGTCTGTGCTACGTATCATTCAATCAATTGCACTTGGCATAAGTTGATGTGGTAGCAGACTGTCGCTTTGATAATCTGGTAACGAAGAGGTGGTTTTCATTAACATTTCTCTAGCCTTGGCTTGAGTCTGACCAAGGCCGTAAAAATAATCAGCGTGGTGAGAGGTGATGATCAAATAGCGTAGGGAAGATCGAGCGCTACGAGTGCACAGAAAGCCACGGCCGCGCCTGCATCAAGTTGGCCTTTCCTTGGAGGTTTGAAGGACATGATCAGTAGTAGGATTTCTCCTATAAAACCTCCTTCATTCGACCACAAAGATCTCTCCTCATCCTATCCTATCCAAACTCATTCCACCTTCAATTTATATCATAGTCGTATATATATATACATATCAATTTTTGATTCGAGATCATCATATTGTATAAATTCATTTCCCATCAATCAACAATTTTTTTGCAACTTTTTTCATCCTCTGTTTCAGATACAAAAGCAATTCCATCCGCCCAAAATGATGTCTTATATCACACCTCGTTTCATTACTCTTGCTTTAATCATCACCATGTTATTTGGAGGGTATAATGGAGTTCCATGCTCGAACAATTTGGAAACGGAGGGAGTAAGGCAATCCATTGAGGAAGGATCAACTTCAGGAAACCCCCCAACTTTTACTCCTGTAAGTATCTTTTGTATCTCTCGCAACTCAAACACATGGCAGAATTTTTTCCTTCCTACTGATTATCCTATCATTTTGTCACAAATCATGAAAAGCTTCGAGAGGCCAAGCCAGTCCGAAATGAACGTCGAATGATACCAATGCCAGGACCGGGTGGCGGTGGAGTGAAGAAAGGACCACCTGGTGGATCATGAAAACCTCATCAAATGGATTTTAATTTCAATCAAGTTCATCAGGATGAAACGATTGGTCTATTGTTTTGTGAAATTCTCCTCTTTTGATTTGTTAAATAGAAAAAGAAGTACAAAGTCTGAATAAAGTAAAGATCTGAAGAGAATTCCCATTAGTTTAGTAACCCATCCTTATCAAAGTAAAAGCCTTCCAAAGACCAAACTCAACCAAGTCCCTGGTTGAGCTGTATCACGCTGTAACAGCTCACAACCCCTGTCCAAAGACATCAATACAAACAATTGGTATCTTCAAGAAATCTCGGGCATCCTTTCTTGCTATATTACAAGGTCTTGAAAATAAGGAAATCTACCAGCTGGTTTTGCCCCAAAAGATTGAAACTTACCACACAGTCAGATTCATCCCAAAATGTCATCTTATCCAAAAAAGAGCAAGAATACGTGAATTGTGTTATGGATAGGCATTTGCTGATAGACTGTGATCTCACAGCGATGAATTTTTTCTCAGAGACTCAAAATCTTCAATCTTCTGGCAGGAGATAGATTTTCTGAAAGTTGTTCCATAAATTCATTAACAGAGAGTCCTTGACCTACTAATTCCAAAATCATTTTGGGACTATCAAAATGTTGGGTTTTGGAGGTCTGATTCAAATAAAACTGCCTTTTTGGGTTTATCAAATCCTGTGCCCATCTGTATCTTGAGAGCCTGGGTTACAGATTCTTGACAATAGATTTTTGCCCAGATCCACAGCTTTCTCTGGGAAGAAGATATCCTCTGCTGTGCAACATTCTTGGAGTCTGGGCAAAGGAATCCTCCTGCCCAGAGAAAAAAACTCAAGATTCTGAATAGGGATCAAGTCCTTTATCAGACAACAAACAAAAAAACAATAGCTGAGTGTATTAGATCTATGAAGGAGCCCTCATGAATGATGATAGTGATAAGGGGTATTGATAGAAAAGTGAATAAAAGTAAAAGCTTTCTAAGTCAAATCAGGATATGAATAATTGGTAGAAACATTAGCTAGGTTAAATGTTGTGAGTATTAAAGACAGGTGTTTACTACATCATAACCCTGTTCTTTCCCATCCTCTGACTTACCCAATACAAATGTTGGACCATATTTCTGTATGGGCAGGAGAAGGTAGGCAGAATCCCATACCTCTCTCCAGCACCATAAGCCATGGGAAATGTTTGGGAAAGCAGGATAAAAACTCATGAGAATCACCACACATAGCACAATTCAGGCTGATGCACCAGCACAGCCCTTGGGCAAAAATCAAGATCTAGTATCTTCAGTAGTGACAGTGTGCTAAAATTGGTGGCTAAAGAAGTTCTATCCACCAAATTATAATCAGACTTCATCATTTTTCTTTCTCCCCTTGATTCTGAATCTAAAGAATATTAATCATATTTTCAGGTTCATTGATCATACCTTTCATAAATCTCTCAAATACCACTTTAAAAGATATCAAAAGAGTTTACAGAAGCTTGTAAACAAAAGATGAAACACGACTCAAGCCACTCCTAGAGCTTTTGGTAAATTGACATAACCTCTCTGAAACAGACTGGCAATTCTTAAACAACTCAAACTTTCTGTACATCCATATCTGAGCCTAGGTACCCTTAATGTACTTACAACAAGTCATACAAACAAGCTACTATCTCAGCTATCTCTGGCTCCTTCACAAATTGATGGAATGAATTGTTAAATAACACAATGTCATGTAAAGCCTCAGTAGGATTCAAAAGCTCTGACACCTAAAGTTTTATGCACCGTGTTTGTATCCTTGTAGCACATTGACGTGCGCACATAAATTAGTTTCCTCAGACACTTGACAGACCTATTGAAGAGGTTTCACAACAGACACATCTTCCCTTTATAAACTGGGATGTTGGCAGTCAGTTGACCCCAGCTGATGACAAAGGATCCCATAACTAAATCATTGTTCACAAAGGGTTCTCAAGAACAATCTCAGTCAAAATCTGACTGAAAGACTTTCAAATTTATTTTGAAACTCTCCGTGTGTGCACGTTGACGTGCTACAAGGATATTGACATGGTGATGTCATATACCATAATCACCGTAGCTGCTCAATGAGATTCACATATAATGAAATATGAGAAGGACTTCCAGCATCTCTCTTCATCTAAACTCTGTCATACCCTTCACCAATCATATTCATATCTTGCTATGGGCAATAATAAAGTTGAATGTATGATCAGATCTGGCTTATAAAAAATCATAAAATCAAATTGATTAATCAGTGTACATATAATGAACTACTTAAGTTCAAGTTAAGGTCTGATTGAATTAAAACCAGTTTTTTCAAATCAAGCAACTTAAAAACCTAAAAGATCCACCCTTTTGAGAAATAGTTGATTATCAATCAAAATTCAACTTTTCAAATGTTTTTTTGCTTTGATAAACATTTTCCTGTAATCACTCCATATGTAACCCTCTCTTAACATACTTCCCAACTCCGCCCTCCAACTCTTTCAAAAAGAAACATTTAAGAGAAAAATACCTCATTGAAAATATAATTAGTATATATATATTCTTTATACATCTTAATAAAAAAAAAACCCTCTCAGAATTCTAAGAAAAAAAAATCAAGATCAAAATTTCAAAATTTCAAAAAAAAAGTAAAAGTATGTTTATAAATATAAAGTCAATAAGTAAAGATAAAAAAGAAAGAAAAGCAAAGAAAAGCAAAGCAAAGCAAAAGAAGAAACTTTTTTTTTATCAAGTAATGCAAAAAGAATGAAGATGAAAACCATAAAACACACACAAAAAAAAAACAATGAAAAATGAAAAATGAAAAAGAACAATGAGAAAAAAAAATCTAATTATTAATATGATGGATGACTAACTACTACTACTACTAACTTATCAAGTTTAACTAATACCAATATCTATTCTGAAAAAACCCAACTAAAACTGCAAAAAAAAACATCATCAAATCAAATCATAATACCAAAAAAAGTAATCTCAAAGAAAAAAAAAACCCATCACTTTTTTTTTCTATCTATCTATCTATATAAATTTAAATAATTGGATTTTTCAAAAAAAAACGGATCTTCTAAACAAAAAAAAGTGAAATCAAAAAAAAACACCCATCTCTTACATAAAAGCAAAATTGAGAAAAAAAAAACACGAATAGGAATTTTCAACACCTTGGGGATTTTTTTTTCAAGTTTCTTTTTAACTTTTCTTACTTTTACCTTTTCCATTTCCATTCCCATTCCCATTATTACCACTACCACCACTCCCACCACTCCCGCTCCCACTTCTTCCATTAGATCCAGAATTAGATCCAGTAGTAATCCAACCCCTAGATCCTTTCTTCTTTAAATCCTCATTCTGATTCCCATGAAGAAGACTACTACTAGCACCACCACTACTAACCCCACCCGGAGTGCGTTTAACTTTACTTCCTTCATTTCTCATGACCTGATTGCCTGCTTTCAATCCCTTCTTCTTTTTCTTCCGAACACTATTCCCACTCCTACCTTCCCCTCCTGTAGCTCCCTCACAACTTCCAAATCCTTCACTACTACTCTCTTCTTCTTCTTCTTCGCCCCCACCGTCTTCTTCTTCTTCATCTTCAATTGAAGAACTATCACTTTCAGATTCTTCACTACTACTCTCGTCTTCTTCTTCTGATGAATCGGTTTCATCTTCAAAGCCTTCTTCTCCAATCCCATTCAATTTTCCATTCTTAGCCTTCATATTTCCATTCTTCCCTTGTCCAACTGATCCTCCAGATGTAAGACTACCTGACCCACTTTGTTGTTGTTGCTGCTGCTGCTGTGATTGTTGTTGTTGATGATGATGTTGTAGTTGTTGTTGCTGCTGCTGTTGATTAGAATTGATTACATTCGTTTTATTAATCACTCCAAGATACCAAAACATTAAATTCGAAATCAAGACTTGTTCATACAATGGTCTTCTAGGGTTAGCCAACTTAATATGACTTAATCTATAAACCGCTCTTTCAACATGAATCGGTAATCTATAAAATGATGTATATCTTCCTTTAATAAACCCTCCAGATGCCGTTGGATTTAATTCTTTAATTTCTTCTTCTACTTTTTGAGTTGGGGTGATCATCGGTTTAGTAGGATTGTTCGAATTATTAACATGATTGCTTGAAGAACTTGAAGTTGATTGACTCGATTCAGTCTTTTTGGTTTTAGTTCCTCCAAACAATCCACTTAGAAATGATCCACTTCCACTAGCTTCTTTTTTACCTTCTTCTTTTTTACTAGTTGGTTTTCCAGATCCAGTGGTACTAGCATTATTATTAGAAGAAGAACTTGATCCAACCGATTTTTCTTTAGATTTGCCTTTTTTAGATTTATCTGATGATGATGATGAAGATAATCCAAGTTTGGCCCATGCTCGTTTTTTCTCTTTGGTTTCTTTTACACTTGGTGGTGGACTTGTTGTACTCGAAACCAACGTTGGTGGACTCGTTTTGGTTTGTTTGTTTGGAGGTCTAGAACTAGATGAGGTTGGGTGGTCCGCTATCCGATTGTATTCAAAACAGATAGAGAGAAAAAGGTCAGAATCATAGAGAAAGACACACCAGAGCTCGGTCACTTACCTCTTGTTGTATTATCTTGGCTCGTAGCCCGTTTGGTATGAAGATCATCCATACTTTTAGTAAGTGGGTTTGTCATGGTTTTGTTACCCTTTGCGTCTGTAATCCCAGGTACAGTCAAGGAAGCGGCTAGATTTGGGATCTCATTGTTTGACTGATGAGGTGGAGCAGTTGAAGATGATGTAGGAAAAGGTACAGAAGTTCTAGCAGGCGGTTGAGAGTTTGGAGGAATCCCGATCGGAAGGTGATCGGATGAAGACATGGATGTATAAGGAGATGAAGCATGAGTTGAAACGTTTTGAGATGAGGTGGAGGTGGAATTGATGGTAGACAGAGGTGGATATGATGCTCGGGAGATAGGTACTGGTACAGTTTCAATGGATTCAGTTGTGATTGTTGGAAGTGAATCTTCAGGGCTTGATAATTCAGCATAAGCATCCAATAAACTACTATTCGAAGCAGTCGAAATCGGTCTAGCAGATGGATTGAGAGAAGTAGATCCTAGATAATCCTCGGTTGGTGAAGAATTCGGTTCACGAATTGAAGGATAAGTAGAAAGCGGATAAAGGTTACTTTTAGAATCATGACTAGAAGCTGT